GATTATTTTACGCTTCATTTGAATATCGATTTAATAGTTTAAATTGATAATTTTAAAAATGTTTATTTTTTGATCTATAATTTAAATTTGATAGTATAAAAATATTTATTTAAAAAAGTGTTTATGCTAAAAAAAATTTTTAATATGTAGAATCTTAAAATAAAATAAATAAATAATTTTAATATCTAATAATAAATGCAATCTGAATAATGCATTAGATTGAATAGTTTAGACTAATATACTGAATATTTCTAATTTATTTCTAATTTGAATTGTGTATTTTTAGGAACTAGGTTAACATCAGACTTTCGCCGAGTTATACATCCAAACCACGAAGCTGGCAGATTACAATTTTTACTATCAAAAACTTTGCTTAAAACAACTAAGGGATTATACCAACTAGTTGGGCCAATCGCAAGTGGATATCCAAACAATTTGTATCGTGCATGTTTAGAAGCTAATGGTATTCCAAAAACCTGGAAATATGCTTTAACACAATTCTCTGAAAAATCTACTGGTTATAATCAAAGTGTGATGAAAAGAGGAAACAACAGCAGTAACTCTCCACATATTTATAATATATTGATAAAGGGTTATAGCTTAATTCAAAAATTACTGTTAATAACGATTCGCAGGCTGAAACAAATTACTGCTGCTCGAAAACCAATCCCTTTCATGCGTTACCACTTCCAACAAAAGCTGATTCAATCAATCAAAAAAATCAAGGACAAGATTCCAGAGGTATGATTTATTATTTTAGTTATATTAGTTACATAATTAAAATATATAATAATAATAGAATGCATGTTCCAACTATTTGATAGTATTGATTATTATTTATAGATATTCAATTAAAAATATATTTAGCATATTTACATAGTTGATACACATGATTACATCTTGATTATTTAAGCATATGTACTAATTATTAGCTTTGAGAATTTTTTTTAAGTAATTCATTGAAAAAAAAAAATGCAACAAATTAGTTTTATGTATTTTATTATGTAGGTATAAAACTATTTTTAAATAAGGTGCTTTCGTAACATTGATATTCCTCAGTATTCTTACTCATTCGATAATTTCCATAGTACTACACAATATAATTATCGATATTTAATTATTTTTTCAAAAAGTTTCAGATTTTAGGTAATTTTATTAATAATTACCAAAGCTAAATGGATTAATATCTATAGTGACAATTTTTTTTGTTTAATATTTATAATTTATTATAATATCACTAGCCAAATCTGTAATTATTAAATATTGTTTTCTAGTACCAGTTGGTAATACATATTTTATCTTCATAAAATTTTTCATTAATCATCACAAATATACCTATAGGTACTTACTAAGAACTAGAAATTTTAGAGTCAAATATATTTTTGAAGCTAAATTTTCTACTTTTATCAAATTTAAAAAATTAATAAGGTATTGTAATTTTTCTTGTATTGACTTATTATAAAAAAAAAAAACTAAAATACCTTTTTATAACATTTTTTATATATGTACATTTTTTTAAAAGAAATACTTGCAATGTAAAAGTAATTACTATTTTATTTTTATTTTAGAATCTGAAACCAGTAAATAACGAACTTTGAAAAAAGAAAATACTGAAAGTACGAGAAAATGTAAATATTACCATACATTTTATTTAATTACTTTACTATACTAAAATAATTAACAATTAATTTAATTATTTAAACGTCTTAAGTGAATTTTGGTTTTTGAGCATAAATTTTTTTTGTAAATGGCTCATGATTGTAATATATTATTATTATGTACATTATAATCAGTGGCGCAACTAGCACAGTATCCTTGGGGGGCCACACCATAATATTATACTAAAAGTAACCCATTAAATTATTTAAAGCATTATTTATCTTGAGAGGGCTATTAATATATTTGGGGGGTTAAACCCACCATCACCCCTTGTTGCGCTTATGATTATAAATATTATAATATATTACCATACACGAACAATTTTAATGTAAGAATGTAAGTTATCATTATTATTAAGATTTTTTTTTTATTATAAAATACTATTTGATTTCCATTGTTCTAATTTAAACTTAGTTAAAAGTTATAAGTGGCTTTTTTTATGTTAAAAACTTACACCTAGCCGTAAAAAAATTGTTCATTTGTTATTTTTTTATTAACTCTAGTAACAGATATTTATAAAACTAAATATAACAATGAAGTAATTGTGAAACGTAAAAGTAATCTGAATATCAAATTATCCGAAATATAATGTTATCTAATACATACAATAAAATTAATAATTCAAAATAATAATTCATAATAGTGACCATTTTACATTAAAATTACATAAAATAATCAGTTAAATATTCAATTTTAATTTTTGTGTAATAAATGCTTATTTTGGTGATAATTATCTATTTTCTAATTATAATTCTTAGTTCCCAAATTAGAAAATTTGTAGTAAATAATAAATAACTTTTGTAATAAGTAATAATAATAAAATATACATTTCTGAATAGGTAATGTATTGTTTTTGAAATCTAACTTTGCAATACTTGTTACATAACATACAAGTTTCATGTACTTTTAAATAAATCAAATAAAGTCCATGCGGTAGGCTTAAAATTGTACAGTTTTATAAAACTTTTTTTTTTAATTATTAACAACAAATAAATAATATTATGTATTTTAACTAATGTTTTTAACAATTTAAATAAATTAAAAACTAATACAGATGCTAAATAAGTTAAGATCCTAATGTATACACAATTTTTAATTTAATTTGGTAAATAACAAAAAAAACATAATTGTATTCATTTCTTTAAAGAGTTTTTGTTTCATAAGAAAAAATTGTTTGTGAACTTTTATGTTAATTAAATAGCTTATATACCTATTATAGTTTTTAAAAATATTATTTTGTTTATTTCATCATATTCAGTAATAATAGTAATAATTTGTAAAATTTAAACAATGTATATCTTTTGTAATTTTTAAAATATTTTGTTTTGCATCTATTTATAATATTATTATTGTATTAACTATTATGCATGTGTACTAAATAAAAATATTTTTTTTTTTCAATAATTAATATCTATACCTGTTTTTTCATATTTATATAAATATTTATGTACCTTATTGTGTCCACAATTATTGAAATAACCAAATCTATGCATGTGTGTAACAATTTTTGTTGAAGGATACTACAAATGTTTTATTAATTTTTGAGAAATTACTGTATATAAATAGCGACAAATCATCAATGAACTAATAGCAGTGGATCTCATATGACATAATATAATATAGTTATAACTTATTAGTAAATAGAACAAACCTAATTATCATTGAACAAGTAGTTTGTAAACATTTCCAGTCTAAAAAAAAATTACAGTTGTGCTAAAATCACAATTAACTGATAAAAACTTAATTTATAACCTCTTCTTAACATTCAGTTTCAATGGATAATGTTCTTGTTACATTCACGTATCACAGGGCTCTATGAATTGTACCCTTGTGATGATACCATAAGGTAATTTCTAGCGTCTAATTATTTGAAATGTTGGTATATTTCGACATATAAATTAAAAGCTTCTGAAACCTGCAAGTATGTAACTTACCTAGTATCTAGACTAAAGAATGATAATGTATTATTATTGTATAGTTTAAAAAATAAAATAGGTACATAGCTTAAAAAAGTCAAAATATTTAGAAAATAGAAAAAGCATTTGAGTGTAAATAATTATTAAACGGGCAAAATATCTAATGTCGTCAAAATTTGAATATTTTTTTTTTCTTTTTAACAATTTTTGCTAATTAATTGATAACTAGATTAAATCCAATGTTATAATAAAACACTCTGTATATGGTGTATACTTATGGTGTAATCTGTATAAATTTAAACCATAAAAATGCTATTTTAAATTGTTTAAAGTTATGCAGCATTAAATAGATATATAATTACGCGTTAACTGTACCTATTTATTTAAATCTAAATACGATATATAAATGGAAAAAAAGAAAACTTTGTTACGCATGTTCTTTTTGGAGTTGCCCGATTATAATAGTAGTCGTATTTGATACCAAACTATAGCTAATCCTGTGTACTTCGTATTGTCCGTTAAAAATTCAAACTCTATATTATAATATAACCCAAACTATATTTAATTTGTTATTATTAATATTCGGTGTAATATGATGTTCAAAACCTAAACATTTTTATTGACCATTTTGAACTTCAAAAAAGCACATCACTTTAAAATGCGAATTTTGTAAGATACTTTCTTATTGCACACTGACTTGGTGAAACGAATTACGAAGGTATTATGAAAACTGCAAGCCTCGAGTTATGATTATTCAGGTTAAACGTTCGTCATCAGTCAGTCAGTCAGTCAGAACACATTCGATTATAATTTATATTATACATAATTAAAGCCATTCCGCTCGGCGTTGCCCGTTAAACTATAGATTATGCGAGCAGTATCGCAGATGGATTGCGGACCCCGCGAGGTGTGAGTCCAGTGTTGCGCAAAGATAACTAAAAATTTATCTAGATAAAGATAAAAGATAATTGGAATAAATTTATCTAGATACAGATAAAAGATGGTCAATATTTAAATTATCTAGATAAAGATAAAAAATAAAACACTTTTTATCTAGATAAAAAAAAAGATAACAATTTTCATTTTATTAACTGCACTACACTTATCTAATAAGTAATAACTAAAATTTATTATTCAATTAAAATTATTATTTAAAAAATAATGATGTTTTATTCAAATTTTTAGATTACATTTTATTGATATAAAAAATATATATTATTTGTTTAAAAATATAATAAATAAAATAAAATTAAAATAAATTATACTTAGCTTCTTATTTAATAAATAATAAATCAATAAACAATGTAATATATTATATTAACAACTAAATCATATAAATGTACATGTTATTATTTAAAAAATATTACAACTGTTATTATAAATTTTATATAATTAATAATTAAATTCTTTCATTAAGCACCTACATCAAAATAGCATCTCAAATGTCTTATCCTGAAGTCTATTTCTTCTTGGTGTTAAAATTTGGGATCCACTACTAAAAAGTCTTTCCACTGGTGCTGAAGACGGGAGAGTGGTATTATATTTAAAAAAAACTTTTTTTACAATTGGAAATATGTTTAACATGTCTAGGTTTTTGTCTTTTGAATCCAAATAAGATAGTGCTTGTACAGTTGCATCATTACTATCATCATTATTTAATTGAATACTTTCAGCAGCCGTATTATCTAGTGAATATTTACTTTGTTTTAAAATACCATAAAATTCTTCATCACTATCAGCAGAGTCTTTTTCATTTTCTTTAGAATCTGAATTAATTACTGACTTCATAAAATTACATTCAGATAAAAAAATATTTTTACATGCAGTTAAATATCTAACAGGTATCCATGAAAGCTTAAACTTTGGGTGTGATATTGAAGCAATAATATATGGTCTGCTCTTAATATTTTCCAAATCAAGTATAAAATTAAATCTGTTTTCAAGACTTTTAATAATTGATAATGCTAAACATCTG